TAATGCGGAAAAAGAAGGATTCGAATGAAATTATCTTACCTGCACAGAAATTTTCCTGATACTACATTTATCCAGTCGTAAAGTATGTAGATTACTGTAGTTTTTTGGGAATCGATCAATAGCAGGAAATATGTTATTTGCTAAATTTAGCGAAATAACATCGCTAAATAGCGCCGGAAGTGCTGAGAGATTTTGTGAGGAACAGTCTTGGGAAGGGCGATTTGAAATAGAATATCGTCGACAACTCGACCATTCTGTGCCCTTATGCGGAACCGCTGCTAGCGCAGCACTTGGCACAAGACACCATAGTAGGAAGCGGATCATGATGTGACGGGCATCATCGATCGGGCGGTAGATCAGATGCGGGGCAAAGGTCTTGGATTTGTGGGGGGATTACGTGGATGAATGCAATATGTGGCTATTCTGGTAGCGCGCTTTGGATAAAGGAAACAATAGCGAAGGGGCGGGGCATGCATAAGTGGATAAGGCGGGGTGGGGCGATGGTGGGCGGTGGGAAGGAAGGGAAGGGAAGTGGGAAGGGTGCAAAAAAATAAAGAAGATGGGATAGCAGGTGGTTGAAATTGACAAAAACAAACGAACAAAAAGTGGAAATGTTTATCAAAGACAAAATGACAAAATACCCGATAAATGAAGTGAGATTGCCGGAAAAAGGGATTATTTTAAAAAATCACAAAATTTTCACTTTTAAGTAACTCTCAACGAGCTGCTTGTCCTCTGTCGCACTTATGAAAGCCCCGGGTTAATTCAATTAGGCAATACCAGGCCTCCAGAACATGAATATTAGCACCATTGCAAGCTGCCAACTGAGCACTTCCACAAAACCGCCATGCGCTCGAAGATCCGGCTCATATATCAGCACATCCTCAATCATATGCATGAATCCATTGATGCCAGCGATCTCACCGCCTTCGATCACTCGCGCTACACGACCACCGCGGGGCCAGTACAGTTCAAAATCTGAAATGAGCTACAATTAACAGTGTTATGTCGAAAATAAGCTTAACTTGAAATCGAAAACAATCCTAAACCCTATTGTTTCAAAGTTCAAAATAAATAGAAAATAATCTTGTTAAAGTTCTGAGACATGAACAAGAAAATTTTAGAACGTCAAAAATTCCATTAAAAGTTGATATTAACTAATATATCGCCCTCCGTCATTATATATTTGATGATACTCTTATCTTACATCATCATAGCTCAAATATGGGATAAAATATCCCCCAAAGCTCTGTATCGAGCAGACTATTTGCAAGCCCCCTTAGCTCAATTTTGAAGAATTTCAGAGTTTAACGTAGCTCTCCCTCACTCTAGCAGATGTAAATCTGGCTTCGAAGGAAATGATACGGTAAAATTTTTACCAAAACATATGCGTCTAAATCCTATTTGGACCAAGTAATTAAAACTTTAAATTTGTAAATTATTAAAGAGACGTTATGCTTTTACTAGGAATAATTTCTGGCGGTCGTTTAGTTGTGAATAAATTTCTTTTGCACCTATCATGATGAATTAAAATGTTAGTAGCTGGGAGTTCTCTACAAGAATTTGCTTTTATCGCAGTAAGAATTTACTTATGATTATTACAAAGGTGGTGCTTTTCTCTGTTAGTGAAAGTTTAACATAAGAAGGACGGGCGAAATTCCTTACACTTCTTCAGGTATGAATTCTCAGCTTTTTTTATTCGTAAAACTTGCTTAATTTTTCTATAGAACCTTATCAAATATATCTTGTTACAAATCTCGGTGGTTTTGAATTGATCTGGCTAAAGCACGGAACCACGAAGCCGCTAATGTGCGCATTTTATACATAAACACCAGCAATTCGTCTTTCTTTGCCGCTGTTAAGCCAAAAATACTCATTTATCTCAAGTTTTAGATTTTCTTGTTTGGGATATGCATTTTTAACAAGAATATTTTGATTGTAAATGGCATCACGGTAGGTGTGTACAAGAGTAAGCATTTAGTGTTGAATAGTGGTTAGGAAGAAGGGCTGAAAATGCTCCTCTGGAAGATTCCTTAGTAGGAGCGTCAGAGCAAAGTATCCATTCATGTACTTTAAAGCCTTTCTAAGGTTGCAATGCATGTTTAATCCATCTCTCGCACAGTTAGCGATTATTGAAGATAGATAATGAATCTTGTTGCCGAAATATTCAGAGTTCGAGAATGATTTTTTGGAGAATGATTATTACAAGATATACTCATTGTAACGTCAAGGGTAGGAAAATGTAGACCCAAAGAAGTTTTACTCTTTTCCTGTTTTTCAGATTTATGAGCGGAGAAAACTTTAAAATATAGAAATTACCAAGGTAAAGGGTATGCATTATATATTGGAGCGAAATGATATATAAACATCTGATTTGATATAAAATCATTTTCTAAATTAACCCGAATTTCCAAACAATGTTTGATTCAGATCAATGCTTAGATAGATATCATTCGGAGAAATTATTCCCCCTTTAATTGTTCGCATTCGAAATATTCGACTCAGTCTGTTGCATGATATATATTTAAGATTTTTCTAAAATTTTGTGCTGATATCATAAGAAGCTACAGAAAATCTAATTAGGCAACCCTTCTTTCTTTTTTTCCTCAGCTCGACACAATAACTAATCGCTCGACTACTGGACCGCGTATGTAAAGGAGTGGAAAAAGTATCGTTTACGAAAATTACTAGGGGTAGCAACTTATATAAATAACAATCACTCAATTCATTACGGAAAACTTACATCGCCCTCTTCTCCTGATCACTACTTTCTCATCATTCATCATTACGTACGTTCTTTCGCGAAGATCAGTATACATCAAAGCCTGAAATGGTAAAATATAAACATTCACAATAAAATTCAATAAAAAGCTGACCTGTCCTTGTATGATATGTCGTTTAAAGACATATTGTAGGGCCAACCAATGATTTCCGTCATTCATGCGAGCTCGTAAAGATGGAGCAACCTGTTCTCATTAAGTAGTAT